ATGGTACAATGGGCCCCTAAACCCTATTCTAACTATCGGGGCCCCTATACAATGGTTCTAGGGTTTAGGGTTTTAGGGTTTTTGAGTTTAGGGTTTCAGGGTTTACGGTTTAGGCCTTAGTAATCAGAATAGTCTTCCTTTAAGGGTTCCTGTGAAAGGGGTGTATAAAGGTTACTCCACAGGTTGCGCAGAACACTCTCAGCAGGGCATTGGGGTGATCGCGAAAAGTCGACCCTGAGGAAGATTGCTAAACTTCTTTTGGCACGGTGTTTTCTGTGATCTACTTTGGCTTTTGCCTGAGAAACGGACACAGTCAGAGACTTTTGGCCCAACTTCGGGATTTTGGGCCGCTTAGGGTTCATTCACAGGTGGCGGGTGGTCTATACTACCATGCAAGGAAGCTTTGTGTGGGCTCCGTCCTTTGCGACAACATCTTACTTCGCGTGCAGCATATGGCTAAGATGTACGCTGAGATGGTTGGCCGTAGATGACTTTAAAGGAACCCTTGTAGATCCCCTTAAAGAAACCTTTATAGATGCAAAGATCCCTTTAAGAAGCCGAACACGACGAAGCAGTGCACTGCGGCTAAATTCGGCCAAAGGTTGCCCGACAGTGGCCGCTATCCAAGTTTCGAAAAAGGGACCCCTAACATAGTACCCTAAATAGTAGGATCCTTATTACAAGGACCCCAAAAGAAGGCACTTCTAAACCCTAAAGCCCTTTTCAGATCCCGTATAGAACCTCAAAGGAACCCCAGGACCCCCCAAATAAGGTACCCCTAATTTTTTCGGAAGCTCTAGACTCTAAACCCCTATAGAGCCCTTTAAAGGAGCCCTTAAAGTGCCCTTATAGCAACGCTTCAAACGAACCTTAAGGTACCCCTCATTTTCGGATTCTTTATGGGAGGCTCTATAGGGTCGGTATGTCTTACATGGAATGGATTTAGGGGTTTAGGGTTCAGGGGTTTGGGGTTTTCGGTTTAAGGGTTTAGGGTTTTTGTTTTTTTTCCTTCTGTTTTAAGGTGTTTAAGTAAGGGGCCCAAACCTGGTAATGCTTGTACCCAAAACCTACGTATCCAAAACTCTGAGCTTCCTGCAAAGGCGCAGCGGGAGGAGCTGGCGACACTGCGGGCAGAGCTGAGGCTCCTCTGTTGCTGAGCCAATATGGGAGTTTCCGAAAATAGGGGACCCTAATATAGCACCCTAAACAGTAGGATCCTTATGAAAAGGACCCCAAATGAGGTACCCCTAGTTTTCTGAAACTCCCATATCATGTTAAGCCTTAGTTTATGAATTATGTTGAGTCGCAGACTGGCGCCTGCTACTGCTACTACGTACTGCTTGCTACTGCTGCTCCTTCTCCTACTCCTACTCCTACTCCAACTCCTACTCCTCCTACTCCTACTCCTACTCCTACTCCGACTCCCACTCCTACTCCCACTCCCACTCCTACTCCTACTCCTACTCCTACTCCTATTCCTACTCCTACTCCTACTCCTACTCCTACTCCTATTCCTACTCCTACGCCTACTCCTACTCCTGCTCCTGCTGGCCCTCCTACCCATACTTACTCCTACTACTTTTGCTACTCGTACTACTACTACTACTAGTACTACTACTACTACTACTACTACTACTACTACTACTACTACTACTACTACTACTACTACTACTACTACTACTACTACTACTACCACTACCACTACTACTACTACTACTACTACTACCACTACCACTACTACTACTACTACTACTACTACTACTACTACTACTACTACTACTACTACTACTACTACTACTACTACTACTACTTCTCCTGCTGCTGCTGTTGCTGCTGCTACTCAAAGTGCTGTGGGTGATTGGGGGCTGCGACGGCGGAGGTGGTGGGGGTGGAGGTGGTGCTCAGGTTCAGGGTCCAGCGCTGTTCTCAGAGCCTAGAACCATCGTGCTGGGTCCGCAGCGCTGAAGGTCGCAAGGCTGAAGCCTGCACAGCCCGCCCAGAACCGATTCAGCAAAAACGCCGCAAGTACTATCAATAACACCCTAAACCCGGATGGAGATGGGCGCAGTGAGCACCAGCCGTCCCCTGTCTTGTGCTGGCGTGCGGCTACTCGCAGCAGGGAGCTGACAAGTACAAAGACCAGCCTGTGAGGACCAAGCCAAACTCCCTGATCGGGACTTCCCTCCACGCCGATAGTGTCGATATCCTTGCAGCTATATAAAACCAGATAGTACAACCTTTTGCAGGCAATGCACCAACCCGAGAAATACCCGTAAAAGCACTACAAAAAGCCACCCTTTGAAAACACGGCAGGTCCCAGCAGCCAGCGGCGCCACCCGCAGCAGGCCCCACATGAGCCGTCTTTGGGTCTGTCTGTGTATGTATGTATCTATGTATGTATGTATGTATGGCTGTATGTATGTATGTATCTAAAAATGTATGTATGTATGTATGTATGTATCTATGTATGCATGTAGGGTCCGGGATCGAGCCAGCCGAGAGCGGCATTGCCTGTAGACCCCAGTGGTCCCTTTCGGTAGACCACGATTTGCAATAGTCCGGCGTGGCACAGAAGACTTCGCAGGCGGCGAAGTCTGGCTCGCGGTGTTATACACCGTTGCCGTGCTCAAGGCCGGCTCCCTCCTTTGAGATCGCTAGCCTTGCTAGCTTCTCATCATACAGCACCTCGATATCGCGAGTTGGGAGTGCATATGGGAAGAGGAAGCAAGAAGTCATGGCAGAACGACGACGACTCCTGGCACTCACGCGGCCAGGGACATGGGCATGGACATGGGCAGTCATGGCGACTGTGGGGTGGTGCAGCCTCAGCCTCCCCGAAGGCCTCAGCGAAGAACCCCGTGCACCTCCGCTACGACCAGGCCGAAACTGGACAGGAATGGTGGGCTACTGCAGCCCCGACAGCAGAGGCACCCGAGGAGGGGATCGAAACGGACCTCCCAGTAGCCTACAAAGAAGTACAGCGTGCCTTGACCCAGGCAAAGAAAGCGGACATGAGGGTCAAGAAGTTGCGGATGGAAGCGGCCCACCGCAAGACGCAATTCGAAAAATACTCCACTTTGATGAAGCAGGCGTTTTCCAAACAGAAGAAGCAGTACGACGCGGACCTCGCTCGCAATGCAGAGGAGATCAAGAATGCCACAGCTGCAGGGCAGACAGCTGCACAAGATGTTCAACTGCTAGCACTGTACGGACATTCCACGGAGCGACAGCAGCAGGCGACCGAAGCCCAAGAAGTGGAGCAAGCTTGGGACGAAATGATGGCTCAGGGTTCGACCATGGAAATGGACACGGAACCGGGCTTCTTTCGCGATGCTTTGGAAGCTGCGAGGAGGGCCCAGCTTGGAGCCCTCCGCCAAGGACTCCGTCCTCGCCCACCGTGTGGGGAAGATGGGGGCACCCCTCCGCGACGTGTGCTTGCAACACCACGTTCGCCACATCCATCGTTTCCTCCACAGCCAGATGGACGGGAGACCCTATACGGGGATGGTGGTGCTCGAGAACCTCAACAGCTTTCTCCAACTGCGGTTCGACCCACGATTTCAGGAGCTCCAGGCCTGGATCCGATGGAAGGTGCCCGCAGTGGCAGCCGGCCAAAGACCCGAGCGCCCAAGGAGAACGCTCAGCCCAGGAAACCAGTCAAGTCAAGCCACCCGGGTGGCGTGGCACATACAACCACTGGTGGTGTTCCCCTGGCGGACAAGCTGGAGGCAGTCAGGGCAGCAGCCATGCTACAGGCCATGGAAGCTGGGAAAGCTATGCGCCCTTTTGGCACGGGCCCTGCACCATCTGGTGGCACCGGACCACAAGAAGCCCAGAGTGTTGGACTTTTCAAGTTCTCGCACAACGGCCAGCCCTTAGAGGTCCAGGTTTCCGAGACCGACGACGAGCATTTCGAGGAGCCGGACGAGGCCAACGGATCTACCAAGCCTCTGCCGCCAGACACCTGAGATCTGCCGTGAGCTTCAGTAGAGTAATCTCGCGGCGAGCTTTGTGTCAAGCTTTCTGGGTTGGCAGGCTATGGGGACCTTACGCGAGTCGATCACAACTTGGGGTTGTGATCACTCTTTGTTCACATCCCCCTGGTCAATGCAGCTCGGAAAGGCCTGACATTGGGCAAAGCCGTCGAGATTACTGGTCTCACACAGCCGAGTCAATAGGAATCGAGGCCTGCACTTTTGAAGAATCGACTGCTGCCCCACCTTGCAGACGAGGGAGCTGTCGTGCCCTTTGGACTTTTGGGTTCGGCATGCCCCCTTTGTCAGTCTCCTCTGCTCAGTTACCACTGTGTTGGGCTTTCACAGTTGGTAGCTGGGCCTCGCCATCTGCCGGTTCTTGGCAGTTTTCTTTGCCTTTGTGTTACTCACACCTCCAAGGAGTGCCTAAAAGTCGGATCGGTGGCGCTGGGCCGGCTACCCTTGAGTGTGAGTGGCTTCTTCCCTTTGGTCGTGACGGGGCATTCTCTTCCTCTACTGCCCACTGGGTGCAAGGCGCCTCTTCTTTTGGCTGCCCGCCCAGGAGTTTTGACTTCTGCAGCAATGGCACCCCGGATGCAGTTTTGGCAGATTCTGTTGATGATACGGGTGAGCCTGTCCACCCTTCTGGACCAATCTGTGCAGCTAGGGGCAGCAGTTTTGAGAAAGGGAACAGCACACCACAGGAGCATTTTAGAGCTAAAGCTGCTGTTGCCTTTTTGGCAAAGGGTGAGTGCATAAGAGGCGTATCGGTTGCTCTGGGACGCCCACCACCCGCTCGTGTTTCCCGTTTTGGACAAGCATGTGCAGCCACCCTTGCTTCTGGCCTTTGTTTTCTTGGGTCACTCGCTGTCGCTTTCTTCAGGACCCTGCTTGCAATGTTAGCTGGAGCCTTGTGCGCGCTCTGCTTTCGACCATGCAGAACCCTCTCATCTGTGTTTGGCATTGCACATAAGATTGGGTTTCAGAGTTGCTGGGCTGTCCCACTTGGCCAGGTTGGGCAGCTCGATGGCCCACTTTCGTGGAAGCCATGGGCAGGGAAAAGGCAACTTCGCAGTGGAGGTGGCCATTGTAAAGTGCCACGGATTGGTCGCTGGAGTCGTTTTTGGGGTAGTATTTTTTGCTTTCTCGCAATCCCAACAGCCTCCGGTGCTGCTTCGCCATGGGTTTCCCAATTTGCTTGGGCTCTCCCAGTTGGCTCCCTTGCGATGGCACGATCAGGTGAGCCTCCAGACGACCCTAGGCCCAGACGGCCCCATGAGATTCCTCCCGAGGAACTCACAGCCTATGTCGGTACGAATCATGTTGTTCTCTCTTGGGAGCACCCCGACGACATACCCCCACCCGACCCTAGGCTCTGTTTACAGGATGTGCGAGACTTGCCGCCGACCCAGGAAGGTGCAGATCGGCAATGGCTTGGAGTTCATGTGTATACCCCACATTACTGCACTATCACCTGTGCAGTTGAGGCTGATCCGCGGGCTGGAATCCACCCAATCCTAGATATCATCAAGGAACAAGCCCCAGGTGTGCCAAGAGGGCTTTTTCACACGCTCATTCCTGCCAGACCACAAAGACATCCAGGGTCTCTTACTCTAGTTAGGGTTCCAAACTCTGCTAGGTACATCGGACCTGTCGGCACTGCATCTGTCATTCTCGACTTGACAAGGGTTGGTGGACATTATTTTGCCAATGTCCTTCCCCGCAAGCTCTCTCTCGATCGCCTCAACGAATATGTTGTTCCCCTCACCAGTGAGCAGGAGGGACAGGTTTACTATTTCGTTGGGGGTAGGCGAAGAGCATGGCCTGAGGTTGCAGAAGTCGATTTGCATGATGGTGACGTCATTGTCGCTTCGTGGTATCCAGACACTCCAAACGGCACGATAAGCACCGAGGCCCTTTTCAGAGAGCCATTCCAATGGGCGCCCGTTGCCCACCTGCCGCGCATAGAGTCTCCTGATGCTGTGTGTGTGCTGAACAGCAATGATCAGAGATACACGTGCCAGCCATCCCATCATTATGGGCTCACCACTGTTGAGTTTGTATCTCAACGACTCGGCATTCAGGCAGGTGAGGCCATAATGTGCTCTTTTCGCATCTCCAACCTTGACGTGCAAGGACAGCATTGCGAGCACATCATAGCAGCCCATAGCATTAGTCCCCACAATGCTAGGACGCAAGATAGAAGTGGTCGCCGGGATATTTTTGTGTTGTGTGACCTTCGACCACTTGGGTACAAGCCGTGTTTCATATACACGAACTACCCGGCGCTACATGTTCCCTCCCTTGCAGCCCGATTCGGTTTAGTCCTCTCTGCCGCCCTTAGGCTTGGGGTTACTGGGGGAAGTCGACAAGGTGAGGATGTACACTTCGCCCCCAATTCTACCCTGCTTTTCTTCGCAGAAGGCATTCCATCAGACGATTCTGAGGACTCAAGTTCGAGTGCTGACCACGATGTGCAAGACGAGCCTGTAGGCCATCGTGTTCTGCCGGCGTTGCCTCCTGAGGCAGAGGACGTCAGCATTCTCTCCGTTCCGCCACCTGCACCAGCAACTGTTGCTTGGAACGAGTGGCTCAGGGACCCATCCTTTGATGAGAGGGGTTTCCCGATTGACGGCACTTTCGGGGTTCCCAGCGTTGTCCATCATCAAACAACTTGGCAGGAAGATTCCACGCTTCCTTCTGGCCATAGTTGGAATGCACTTTCCAGCCTCGCCCACGATACTGGAAATGAGGCTCGTGGGTCCAGCCAGGGACCTCCTGTCTCTACGCCAGCACCAGGTGAGGCTGCAACCGATGGCGGGACAGCAGACACCCCCATGTTGCCTGTCGCTCCCGAAAACCTCGCCATAGCAGAACGAGCCCGGACGCCAGTCCTGACACTCACTTACACACCTGAATACATGCCGGAACTCATTGTATTGTCTTTTCCCATTCCGTGTGGGATTGAACAGGCTGTGCAAGCACTACAGGAGTGCAGAAGTGAAGGCTATCGGGATAGGTTCCCCAGGCTCATTCCGGTGCAACCGCAGCCATGTCAAGATTCAGCTGTCTTCGTAGCTGCTCCAGACTGGTTGCAAGATCGTGCCATTGTTCTCATCGATTGCAGAAGGATCGATGGGAGTGTATTTGCTGCTGTTGTTCCCTTGACACTCAGCCGTGAATCCATTCTTGTTGCAGCCGGCTTCAGCCATGATGTGCCACATCAAGTCTTTGTGCATGGGCTGATACAGCCCTTGGCAATGCAGCAACACATCACCCTTTTCTCAGGTCTCATGCTGATCATCACTGCGCACACAGCCGGCGCTCCAGCAGTGTATGACATCGCTGAAATGCTACAGGATCCCATGCCATGGAGCCTAGATGTCATGATTCCTGGTCCTGAAGCGCACCCTGGCAGCCACTACTACATCCTCACAGATGGGATGCCGCTTCTGTTTAAGGTCCAAGCTGGCCGAAGGTCTGCATTCCGGCAGGATCTTATCCAAGCCCTGCGCAGTCGCGCCACCTTCCTCACAGTGCTTCCCACCGCACCCCAGACTGCTGACCATTACACACAAGGTGTTCCGACGTCAGGGGTTCTCATTGCCACAAAGGCGGGTCCCGATTTTCATTGATGCTCGGCCTGTGCTGAGAGGGTTTCAATGGCGTTTGTATAACAACGGCATCGTTCCTGTCCAAGATGTTGTTGCTGCCTTCCAGCCCGAGTGTCCGCAGGGTTATGCAGTCATAGTCAAGGGTGCTAGTGTTAGCAACGGGCCTGATGGGCCTTTCTTTCAGCTCGTTAGAGGGGGGGTTTTATCCGTCCATTTTCTTGAGGATTTGCTAGAGGACAGTGATAATGACCCTCCTGATGACAATGCGCCCGACGGTCCTGATGACGATCGGCACACACGCTCAGGACGTCGAGGAAACAGTCGGTGGAGGAATCGTCATAATCAGCCAGACCAAAGGAGTAGATCGCCTCGATTCATTCCCGAGAGCCATGGCCAAGCCCCTGCCGCAAGCATTGATGGACTTGCTGCGCTTGATGAAAGTGTAGCCTCTGGTAGTAGAGTAGCCACGTGGTCTCCGACCTCTGCCAGTGTTCTCGAGAACACACAGCATGTTGACTCCACCTCTGTCCTCCTACCCGAGCAGAGTCCTGTAAATGAGCATGCTCCTGGAGATCAATCCAATCTCGGTCCACCAAGTGGAGATCCTGGACTCCAAATTGTCCTTGGCAGCGATCTTCAGCGCACTGAAGGCCAGGATACAATTGTGAGGCCCTCTGGTCCCACCACCGTCAAGCTCTTTGTGCCCAACTTCCCCGTCATCGTTTTCGCATGCCAAGGGTCTGTCGGACTAGGTGAGTTTGAACTCCTTGAGCGGGTTGAGAGAGCAAGGCAGGACCCACTCCTGCCCTACTTCCCCGATGCTGTTCTTGTGCAGCATCCCGACACTGATCACGTTGTCATTTGTGTTGCTTGCCCAGCTTGGCCGTGTACTTCCAGCACTGTCCTCTTCGATCTTCGCACACTTGACGGTAGACTGTTTGCACAGCAGATTCCTCGTTATGCGGACAAGTTCATGCTGTTGCAGTTTGCAGGCCTCGCCACAGGCGCAGACGTTGAGGTATATTGCCAGGCACACCATGTTGCTCTCGAGGACGGTCGCGAGATCCGCACCTACTCTGGACAGAGGGTTTGCATTTGCCCCAGTGGGGTACCAGCTACGTACCACTTCTCCCCTGAAGAGGAATATGGTACCAGCCACACAGTTGTTGACGGTGCTCAGGACAGTCACTTCTGTGTTGTGACTGACTTAGCTTACTCCACCTTCTTGCTATCACCTGCTCGCTCTTTCCTGTACAGAGCAGACCTTGCAAGTCGGCATGGCCTTAGGCTTGAGTACCTCGCAATCACTCCAGCAGTTCCAGGTATTCGGGATGCCTGTGTATATGGCCGGCTCTGCCAGAATGTTGTTGCTGTTGGCGAGAATGACAGTGAGGTCGCTGCTAACCGGGCCATTGGGTTCGTTGACTGCCGCTTGCTGTTGCAAGGATGGTATCGCATCTTTTCCCACTCCGATTGGCTCCCTCTTCACCCGCTACGCAATAGTTTTCGTCAAACAGCACCTGCTGGTTTTGATGTTGAATTTGTTGGGTGCCCATCACATTGGGATTGGGTCTGGTTTGCACCGGGTCAGGTCCTTGTAGCTTTCTATGTAAGGGAGATACCCGCCTCTCCAAGGTCAGAACTCTCTGGACCGTCCACAGCCCTGCCAGACGATGATGGCGGGAGTTCCCCTGACGCTTCCCCGCGCACCTCCCTGCCTGCCCCAGCACGCCCAGTTGCTGGGGCACCGCACACCGAGGATCGTCTTACCTCCGCAACTACACTCCCCACAGCAACGCATGGCACCTCACATGGTGCCGGAAAAGGCACCGGGGCCAGCAGCGCGCTCTTATTTGGCAATGACCCAGGTTGCTCGCGAGCCACTTTCTCTGTTGCCGATGTCATTTGTAAGGGTGTCAAGTGCCTCATGCGCAACCGTCTTTTGCTTGGATTTTGTTTCCTTACCACTCTTCCTGCGCAAGTCGGGGCTGTTCAGATACGTACTGATAAGCCCAGTGTCGAGTCTGGTGCAACCAGTGCCCTAGCATCGCTTCGTCCCATTCCGACACCGTGTCGGCGAGACACCAGGTTACCTAGCAGTGCTTGGGGGTCTGTTGCCGGACCTTGTCATGCGGTTGACGACAATTCCCAAGAAGATTGGTTTGCTCAAGGGCTTGTCACTCTACTTGAGCAAAGTAGACAAGACAGTGACGACCACCCCATTTTCCTTGCTGCGACACTGCTTGACACACTTGTTGCACACTTTGCCAAGCCTGACAATGCTCCTGTCAACGCACGTGTTTTGAGGCTTGCTGAGACAATCCCTAGCACTGTTTGTCACAACCTTGCCCTTCCCCAGATGCCGTCGCCCTTTCGCATTGCTGACTTATTTGAGGCCCTCGCCCATTCATGGATCCTCCCCTCTGCACTGCCTGACAATTTAGATCTGCACCCTGCCACCATTGGTATCCTTTCAGAGCATATCCCTGTTGAGCAAGGACTGCGGATTGGCATAGGCAGCCTCGATGTATACACCGATGGTTCCTACAATGGAAAGATCGGTTCCTGGGCCTTTGTTGCCATCGGGCACACTGCTGCTGGCTCCTTTCTTTTTGCATGGGCCAAGGGCACAGTTGCCGACCCAGATGAGTCGCTATACCCTGGGGCTGAAGGTCACAGTGCAGTTAATGGGGAAAGAACTGCCATTTTCTGGGCTGCCTGCTGGCTGCTCGGTATCGATAAGAGTCTTCCCAGGACTCTGCACAGCGACTGCCTCATTGCAGCCAACCAGGCTGAGGGACATTATGGTGCCAACACAGATGTTGCATTTGTCAAAGCCTGTCGGGCGATTGTTCAGGTCCATGACGCCCTGCACAAAAACAATCGTCTTGTTATTCGGCATGTTAAGGGCCACTCCGGGGACCCATACAATGAACTCGCTGATGTGCTTGCAGGCAATGAACTTGTAGAAAACAGCACGATACCAGAATTTCTCTGGTGGTATTGCAGTTGTGCCAGGGACCAAACCCTTGAATGGCTCTGGCTTACCATTGCTGCGCTTCCCGCTGATGGCACACTACCAGTCCTGCTCGATGGTCTCCTAGTTGACCCAGGAGGCCAAGGTGCTTCAGAGGCACGACGGCTTGAACCAGAGGCCTTCTTTGGAACGGCATTTGCTGCTGCAACCAACAAATCTACTGATAGCACTGCCTTCCAACTTTCAGTTCGGATCGTCTCTGTCAATGTGCAGACACTCTGCGAAGCCCCAGGTGCCCAGCCCAACAGGGTACCCTTTGTCAGAGAGCAGTTAGAGCTCCTTGGTTGTTCCATCATTGGTCTGCAGGAAACTAGAGCCAAGACCACCTCTACAGTCACGTCGCAGAGCCACATTCGCTTTATCTCCGCATGCGACGGGCAAGGCAATCTAGGTGTAGAGCTGTGGATATCGCGATCAATCCCGATTGGATGGTTTGGCAACCGGCCAATCCATTGTGACACTGCCGACTTCAGTGTTCTGCATTGGTCCCCAAGATGCCTCATTGTCCGGCTTGTCAAGGATTCTTTTCGACTAGTGATCATCGTGTGTCATGCGCCCACCTCCGGAAGTGCTGAGAGGGACGGCTGGTGGAAAGAGTTCTGTGCCAAGGCCTACAGCTGTGCTAGGCATGATCGGGTTATCATTCTCGGTGATTTGAATGCACGCATCTGCGCTCCAGTGCATGATCGAATCGGCGATATCGTTTGGGAGAACGAGCACGAGCCTCCCTCTGCCTTCTTCGACCTTATACAACGACTCGACCTTTGGCTCCCTTCGACATACACTGCCTGCCATCATGGCTTGAGCCATACATGGGTTGCTCCTGCTGGCCAGGCAGTTTCAAGGATCGATTATATCCTTATCCCCACCTCTTGGCCTGTTGGCGAAGGAGGTTCTGCTGTGTTATATGAAGTCGATTTCGGGCAGGCCGGACTCGACCATTTTGCGGTGAGACTCGACGTCGAGGTCACACTCCCCCCAGGGTTTCGTCATGGCCCAAAGAACACACGCTTTGACACTGCCAGGCTTCTGTTGCCTGAGTCCCGCCAAACAATCCACCGAATCTGCAGCACTGTACCGGATGTGCCTTGGAGTGTCAATGTGCATAATCACTACCATGCCGTTACTGAGCATCTTGTGAAGGGCTTCGCCGAAGCCTTTCCCAAGCAGCGAACTTCCCGACGGAGGACCTTCTTTTCAGACACGACTTGGAACTTCCGCCAGCAACGTGTCTGGTGGCGCAAACAAGCACACCGTGCTAGTGTTGGAATTGAGTCGGGTTGCCTCCACTGGGCTTTTGCTGCCTGGTCGCACGGCGATTTGCTTCTGAGGACAGTTGTGATCGGTTTTTTCCGTGTCCTTACGCAAGTTGCCCATCTGCTCGAGGCTGTCAAGGAGCTTATAGGACTCTAAAGCCTGTGTTTCGACAGTCCCTCGGACAAGACAGAAGGGCATACCTCTCAGAGGTTGCGACCTCTGCTTGCAGCCTTGCTACGCGCGACGTTGTTGCGAAGCTCCGGCCGCTTGTCGGGCCACCCCGCCGCAAACAGCGTGGGCCTGCTCCTTTGCCGGCTGTCCTCCTTGAGGATGGCACACATGCTGCCACCCCTGATGCTGCTGACGAGCGTTGGCTCAGACATTTTAGTAGCATTGAGCACGGTGGTCCAGTCATTCCTGAGGAGCACATCACGCACTGTCTGTCTCGACAGGATGCCGTTGACACCTCAGATCTCGAAGTTGTTCTTGCCGAGCTTCCTTCGCGCTTTGAACTTGAGGACGCAATGCGTCGGTCCCAAGTAGGACGTGCAGCTGGGAACGACCAGCTCCCTGCAGAAGTCTGGAAATGTCAAGCGCCTGTCCTTTCTGCCGTGCTGTACCCCATCATGCTTAAGACTGCACTTCGGCTTACAGAGCCATTGCAAATGAAAGGGGGGACCATGCATAAGATTTGGAAAGCCAAAGGACCGCAGCAGGAGTGTGCAAGCTACCGAGGAATCTTAGTCTCCAGCAACGCAGGCAAGTGCATACACTCTGCCTTCAGAAGCAAATGCGGGGCCTGGCTAGAAACGCTTGCCTCCCCCCTACAAATTGGAGGAAGGCGAGGCTTCCCTGTCCAGTTGGCAGCGCAAGCTGCAAGATCCTTCCAACAGGCAGCTTTGAGGCAGGGCCACAGCGTTGCACTAATTTTCCTCGATCTCCGTGAAGCCTTCCACCGTGTCGCACGCCCACTTGTTCACGGTGGCGATCTCAGTGATGAGCACGTCGCGTATGTCTTGAAAACGTTCGGCATACCTCCTGCAGGCATCGAGGAACTCCATACATACGTTCGTGAAGCCTCTCTCATCAGGGAGGCTGGCGCGTCGCCCTGGGCTTCAGCACTTCTCGCAGAATTTCAAACAGATTCCTGGTTCAGTATCAATGGCCATCTTGCTGCCGTGCAGGCTGGTACGCGTCCTGGTGATTCCCTAGCAGACGTAGTATTTTCCTACCTCTTCTCCGCTGTTTTGCGAAGAGTGCGCCAGGCCCTCCTCGGAGCTGGCCTGACCGTGCATCTCCCTTGGAATCCCGCCTGGGCCGGTCGACTTGACAAAGCCGCTGTTGCCACTGACCAGCTTGCGCCGATCGACGTGTCATGGATGGATGACCTTGTTTTGCTGCTTTGGTCCGCCAGTGCAGATGGTCTCATATCTGACACCAAATTAGCCGCAGAAGTTCTGCTTGATGAGTGTGTGCGTGCTCTTCTGCACCCCAACTTAGATCCTGGCAAGTCAGAGGCCATCGTTTCTCTTGTTGGAAGGGGCTCACGCAAGTTGCGCGCTGCTTTGTTCCGCAACCCACAACCTGGGATAGAGCTCCAGCCACAGGTCTACCCCGCGTCTAAGCTCCGCTTTGTTGCCAAGTACAAACACCTAGGTGGGATTCTGCACTGGCAGGGTTCTTTGAGTGTTGAACTACGCGCCCGTGTTGCACAAGCTTGGCAGGCGTTTCGCAAGCACCGTCGAGCAGTTTTTGCATCACCTTTGATCACGCACCGTGAGAAGGCCTTGTTGTTTCGATCTGTTGTTGCCTCAACTCTATACTTCGGTGCGGGTACCTGGGTTTACCAGGAAGAGGCTGCATTGCAACCCCTCCAAGGGGCGTTGCTAGCAATGGCACGGCAGATGTTACGTCCAACGTACCATCGAGAGGCTCCACAACATCTTGGCGCTGGGCTTATCCTTGCTGTCGCCAGGCTCCCCAATGTCTGTACCGAACTTCATGCTGCTCGGCTTCGCCACCTTTCCATCACCCTCGCCAAAGCTCCTCCAGAGTTTTGGGCCATCCTCCACTATGATTGTCAGTGGCTCCTTCTTGTGCAGGATTCCCTTGCCTGGATCAGGGGCCAACACAGCCGCGCTGGCAATGACATTTCTGCCTTCGCTGACTGGCAGGCCTTGACAACACTGACCAAGGAAAAGCCCCAGGTTTGGAAAAGGCTCATTTCACAGGCTGTCCACTACGCACAACTACAAGATACCTGGAGTGCCGAAGTTGGGCACTACCATGGTTTGTTGTTGCGCTTCCTCCTTGCTAAGGGAGCACACCCGGCGAACGACCTGCTTGTTGGCCAGAATGCCAGCGAACTCTGTGCTGTGTGTGGACAGGTCTTTTCGGACCTCCGTAAATGGAGTCACCACGCCTTCAAGTGTCACGGTCGTGTCCGAGAGGAACGATATTTTGCCGAGGGCCAGAGATGCAAGATTTGTCTCAGACATTTTGCGTCCAACTTCCGCCTCTGCAACCATCTCAAGCACTCTCGCGCATGCCTTGCTGCTCTTGCAACTGCCGGAGCCACGTGTGACCCCCAGCCAGGCAAAGGCAGTAAACGCTTCTACTCCGGAGCTGATCAGCCATGCCCTGCTGTTACTGCCTCTGGTCCTGTGCCAAGAGGATGTAATCCATTGTACATCCCCGAGAGCCAAAGAGCCTCTGAGGAGGTCCTCCGTAAGCTCGAAGATATTTTCGCACACCCCTCCCTAGAAGGGGATTTCGCGCAGCTCCTCGAGGCAGTACGGTCTGCCTTTCAGGGTCAGTGTCTGCAAGTTACCAGACTCCGGGCTACTGCCACTGCTTGGCAAGAAGCTCTGCATCAAGAGCTTGAGAGGTGTGAGGAGATCTCCGTAGAATGGGCAACTTGGCACCATCGAATTGCCGATTTCCTTACTCGAGTTGATTTTGTTGCTTGGCTTGTCCCTGACCCTACCGCTGTGCAGCATGGTATCGCGACCTTTCGTGATGCCGCAACCATCCTGCCTTGGCTGATTACTGAGCTGTTACACATCGAGTGTTCGACAGCAGATTGTTGCACCGGGACATGGCTTTGTGCCCGTAATCGGCCATCAGGTTGCTCGGATGACGACAAACTTGAGTTTGTGTCCCACGATTCTTGCTTCCGCGACCCGAGTTTGATTGACATCACCTCCTGGTGCCAGAGTGCTGGTCCGGTTCGAGGGTTTTGTCTCCTTGGTTTGCTGTCCTCCCTGGTTTTCCCCACATCCTTGCGCTCTTACAAGCAACTCTTTCCTCACCTCCTGCGCCTCCGGCTTTTTGCCGATGCTGTGCGTGGTACTTTGCAGCTCTGGACTGCCGGGCGACCTGCCTTCTGTGTCGTGCAGCACTTTCCATGTCCAGGCCTCGAAGTAGTTAGGAAGATTGCTCCTGTAAGCATCGATTGTGGAGGATACCAGATTCTCGCCAACTTTCCCGGTGCTGGCGAGTACCCACGGCGTTTCACCTTTTTCTAATTAGTTTTGCACTTTAGGCTGCATCCAACTCGGATTCTTTGCCTCGAAAGCGAAAGCGAAGCGATGTATGCATGTATGTATGTATGTATAGCATACATAGCATTGTATCGTATGCTATTGGCGTCCGTATTAAGTCTGTATTTGTAGTTGTAACGCATTTATGTGTGCAGTTAAGTATGTATTGACGTATGTACTTAACCATGTATACCAGCATGCATGTCAGTATAACATCAAGTATTTCATTCATTCATTCAGTCAGTTAGTCAGTGTGTCTGTCTTTCTGTGCATACGTAAATATGTACGTATGTATGCATGTCTGTAAGTATGCAGATGCGTGTGCGTGTGTATTCACCACATTTTTGCCCACCCTCGGTGTCTCGGTGTCGGGCTGTTAGATTTTAAACTCAGCTATTACTTCTCGCCCGCTGAGATTACCTCCTGGAGTACCCAACCCCACAGACTGCCGTGAGAATACCGTGAGAATCCCTGGAGTGCCCAACCCCACAGACTACCGTAAGAATCCCTGGAGTGCCCAACCCCACAGACTACCGTGAGAATCCCTGGAGTGCCCAACCCCACAGACTGCCGTGAGAATCCCTGGAGTGCCCAACCCCACAGACTAGCGTGAGAAACTTGTGTGTGTGTGGCTTGTAGATAGTTTAGGGTTTGGGGTTTTGGGTTTGGGGTTTAGGGATTGGAGTTCAGGGTTTAGCTCTATCGCAGCCCCTAGTCGAGACGTCGTGTATAAGACCGAAGGAACAGCGAGAAATGTCTGCGGGAAGCCAGACAAAGCCTCCTGAGAGGTCGGTCCACATGGCGCACGAGCTGGATGCAGGCCTTTACTAGCCTGTATGCATAGACTCTGAATTCTGAGTCGTAAACTCTAAACACCCCACGCCCCAAACCCGAATTAACACCAAAATCCCGGAGACCTTCAGCGGTAAGACCCCTACACCGTCAATTCCGAACCGTCATGAAATCCCAAATGCAGAACACCAAATCCTAGTTTCCGGGTTTAGGACTCAGGGTCTAGGTTTCAAGTGCTAAGCCCTAGACCGTCAACAAGGCAATGGGTTTCGGGCTTGGACTTTTTGGTCTCGCGCTTCGGATCTTGGCCTCCTAGTTTGTGGTTTTCGGGTCAGGGATCCGTCGAAGTTTAAGTTTGGGGCTTCTGTCGAAGAGCACTAGTATATTGCTGATACAACCAGAATGAGGACAGCAACCCTGGCAGGATGATATTAAACTAACAACGTCGGTCTTCTGTCCTGCCGTACGTTTAGCCTCTCCGACAGAAACCTGAAGCACTGCAAGACCAAGTATCTTAAACGGGTTTAGGGTTTAGGGCAAAGCGTGTATCAAAAGCGAACAACTCCCAGGACTGCTATGTAACCACCCTACAATTCCCGCACAACGCCCTCAACTTCTCGCCAGTGGGTGAGTCGACGGGCAATTCCATAATACGAGCAGCATTCGTCAAGCCTCGGCCCTGAACCATAAGCCCTGATGCTAAGTTTATGGCCCGCAGTATCACGGATGGGGTCGCTGTGACAATCCTTGCTACGAGCCATGAATGGTAGCAGCGACCCATGTCCTAAAACGCCAGTCTGTGTAGCTCAGAACGCGAGGTTCTGAGCCCTAAATGCTGAAGGTTCTAGATTCCAAAGCCCTCAGCTCTGAAGCCCCACACCCACCCAGAACTCAGATCCTAAACCCTAAAGCCTGTGTCCTCACACCTTCACCCCTTAGCCCTGAACCCCTACTTAAAGGATCATGGGACTTAGCAACTAGGGTTATAACTAGGGATAATTAGGGTAACTATACTCATAACCCCAATTAAGGTACTTCTAACCTTACTTACTAAATCCCATGATCCTCCAAGTAAACCGAACCCGCGAATTTTCCAACGGAGGGTGCGCCGGCATCCGACTTCACGGACCAGCTTCGGGATCGGCAAATCGCGGCGCTGCAGTCGGTACCCTGGCCGAAAGGATGCTGTCAAGTTCATTAGACTTGGGTTTTGGTGTGTACGAGAGGAACGAGAGGAATCCTCATATTCAGGACTCTCAGGAACCCTATTTTCAGCATTTATTGCCCTATTTTACTATCAGGGTCTCGGTTTGGGGGTTTGCGTTTGGGGGCGTGGGGCTATACAGCTGTTTGGCTCAGGGCTCAGTTTCATGTTTGGGTCTTTTTCCAGGTCCTGGGAATCCGGTAACGAGTACGGTGCGCTGATGTGGAGCTTCGTGTTAACTCTAGCCCCTAAACCCTAAACCCTAAACCCTAAACCCTAAACCCCTAAACCCTAAACCCTAAACCCCTAAACCCTAAACCCTAAACCCTAAACCCTAAACCCTAAACCCTAAACCCTAAACCCTAAACCCTAAATCCCTTCAAACCCTGCATAGAGAGCGGAGAGTTTCGGGCTGGCGTTCTGGTGGTGTAGTGGCTTGTAAAGCTTGAGGGTTGAAGCTAGGTAGGGCTTTGGGACATTTTATATTTTCCCTTATTGGGATTAAGAGGATCTTATTTACTAATATTTTTCAAAGGCTTTAAAAGCCCCACCTAGGAAGGGTTTTAATGATTTATGCTGCAGGGTTTAGGGGTGGTTGCGGGGTCTCGGGCATTTTTACCAATACGGTGGGTACTAAACCCTGAACCCTAAACCCTGAACCCTAAACCCTAAACCCTAGAGGCATGAAGCAGATCCGATGCGCGAAGGGCACAGCAAAAGCAAGAGCAGCAGTGAAAGCACTCTTAGTAGCAGCAACGGCCACTAGGAACGGTGACGGTACATACCTATACTCTCTTGGGGGTTCCTTACTACATTTATAGTATAATGGGCCCCCAAACCCTATTCTAACTGTTAATACGGTCCCTATAGTACTGAAAAGCGGAAGAGCAACCGTTGCAACCGATCGTGACAACGACGGAGTGAACCGTTGCAAGCGAGATACCAAGAACGAGTGAACTGGTAGGGCTTAGGGTTTAGGGTTTAGGGGTAGCAAGATGTGAAACAACAACCAAGGTTGGTTCTGTTGTGCTCGTGAGGCTAGTGAAGTAGTGGTTATGAAGGAAACAGATGTACAGCTGCGAATAATTGCCTTCACCATCACCATCATCATCACCATCACCATCACCACCATCATTATCATCATTCTCATCCTGATTATCACTCCATGCGCGATGCCGTGTTCTAACTCTTTCCAATTGGTTGAAGGCATGTTCTTTGGGATTCCAGTACTTAAAGGATCATGGGACTTAGTAACTGGGGTTTTAATTAGGGTAACTATACTTATAACCCCAGTTAAGCTACTTATAACCGTACTTACCAAGTCCCATGATCCTCCAAGTAGTCCCTGCAGGATCTCAATCCCCAACTCTTTCCGCAGGAGCTCCAAGAAGCGCGGCGGGGCCTCTTGTCCAGACAAGGTTGACAGTAAACCCACCCTGTAATAGTGACTATAAGGGTTTTATTAGGGTCCTATTATATTCCTATTATACCACTATTACAGGGTGGGGGCCCCTTCTAAAGTAAACCCCAAAACATGCAAAACTGGGCGGTAAACCCTAAACCCTAAAGCTTAGGGGAACCTAGTGTCAACGCTCTTCCCGCGGAAGAAGATTGGCGCACCGAAGATGAAGTGGCTCTCTGGAAAGACGCGCCGATGGATCTCACGCACTTCCAGGTCAGAAAAACAGAGCGTGAAGACTCGCAAGCTGAAGGCCGTCCGGGATTTACTTCTTATCCGATGCAGCCAAGCAAATCCTTCGGAGGATTGACGCCGCCAAGAACTTTTTGGAAGATTGTGTTCAGCAGCTAGCATAGTACACGCCGGATAGCAGGACTGATCGACGCAGCTGGGTATATCTCATCCTCGAGGCTGCGGAAATCGCTTTAGCACGCGCCTTGCTTCAGTCGCTTCTACCCACGTGCACCGAAGGTGTTGTGTGGCTGCATGTCGGACTGTACCTAAAGGACCTAAAGGATCATGGGACTTAGTAACTAGGGTTATAAAGTTATAATCAGGGTAACTATACTTATAACCCCAATTAAGTTACTTATAACCTTACTTACTAAGTCCCATGATCCTCCAAGTATGTTCCGGAAGCCAGCACTGATGTTGGGCAAGCCAGCAGGCTGTAGCAGCACGCCTGCTCAATTTGTTTGCAGACGCCCACAACATACCTGGGATCCTACACCGTATAAGCCTAAACACCAATGGCCCAAGGCGGAAGCCTATGCCCCTTAAGATCCAAACCTTAAACTCCAACCCTCCGCAGCATAGAAACCCAAATGCCAAACCGCTGCCACAGCAATCGCAAACCCCTAAACTCCTAAGCTTAGACCCTTGCGACCGCAAACCTCAAGCCCAAAAACTCCTGAAGCGATCTTGTTTCGAGCACTCAGGATTCAGTGTGGGGGGGTGGGGGGAATATTCAGAAGACGGCGTTAGGGTTCATCATCGCAGAATAGCATAGGATGAGCAAGGGGCGAAACTATGAGCAATCATTCCGACCCCTGTATTACCCGGCCTAACCCCGCACCTAGAACCCTAAACCCTGAACCCTAAACCCTGTCCCCCAAGAGCAAGGCCTCAACCCTCCGTGCTCGACCTTGCACCCGGAACAGTGAGGAATTCAGCCCTCAACCCTCAACCCCAACCCGAACATCCTACTAACTACTAAACCCGAAACGCAACTAAACCCCACTAGCCCCACTAAACCGCAAACTCCAAACTCTAAACCCTATACCCTAAACCCCAAACCCTGAACCCCAGTAAACCCAAACCCCCCACCCCAGGCCCCTTATTTCCCAAACCCTACACCCCACTCAACCCTAAGCCCCCTAACCCTGAACGCTACTAAACCCCCAAACCCCAAACTCTAAACCCGAAGCCCTACTAAACTACCAGGGGCAGATGGGAAAGAGGCCCCTTACAACAAAACCCTACTCAACCCCAAACCCCTAAACCCTCAGCCCCTAAACCCTAAGCCCTTAT